AGCACTCCTACTCATGAAAATGCCCCGATACCAAAAACCAATACCGTCGCTTTACATTTTCAAACCGTAGTGGCTACCTTTGGTCCAGTGCTTGCTTCCTGAGAACCTCGCCCGAGACATCAGGCGGGTACCCTGGAGCAGCACAGAGTATGCAGCAACATATTATTCTGCATTGCTGTATAATGTATTGCTGGGATTTGTAGTCCCCTATAGCCAGTACCATTCTGCATTGCTGTATAATGTATTGCTGGGATTTGTAGTCCCCTATAGCCAGTGCCATTCTGCATTGCTGTATAATGTATTGCTGGGATTTGTAGTCCTCTGTAGCTGATGGTATTATAATTATAATGTGCCCCAGCGGGGAGGAGAGAAAGTGTGACAGCTGGCCGAGCGCTGCAGGAGGAGAGCGCTTTGAGCGGCCGGCGTCTCTCCTCCCACAACGCTCAGCCTCCTGTCACAGTCCGGCACAGCGGTGTGTGGGCGGAGGCAGCCAGCACTGTCAGAGGAGTCTGAGCTCTCCTCCCTGCACCGCTCACTGAGCCTCCTGTGACAGCTGTAAGGAGAGCCAATGCAAATACTCAGCGATCGCTGAATGTTTGTAAATAATTGAGGACAGAGTATGGTTACTATATCCTCAATTATGAATGAATGGGACGTGATCTACATCACCTCCTGTTCATTCATAATTGTAGTTATAGTAAACATACTCTGTTCTCATGTTATGAATGAACAGGAACACTCAGTATAGAGGATTCCTGTTCATTGATAGCAGGGGCTGTGGAAAAAGAGAATGAGGACTGATCTATTGTGTCCTCAATCTCATTTTCTATCTTAAAAGTGAAATATCAGGGGTCTGTTTAGACCCCCAATATTTCCCCAAAGCACCTAAAACCTGCTGCCGTCAGTCAGGAAAAAAAAAAAAAGCATTGGAATGCATAGCTAGATTGCTATTGGCTATTTCAATTTGCAATATCCAATAGCAAGCTGGCTATTGCACCCGCCCTCTGCTTGTGTCAATCACTAGAAGAGGACCTGATGGAGAACATCAGGACCCCCACTGTTGATTGACAGCAGCAGTGGGCGGGTGCAATAGCTAGTTTGCTATTGGCTATTGCAAAGTGAAATAGCCAATAGGAATCTAGCTATGCATTCCTATGCTGAAAGACTCCCGGAGTGTCCGGGAGAGTTGGGATGTCTATAGGAGACCCCTGGCAAATCGTCATCCGACCCCCGACTGGGTCGCGACCCACATGTTGAGAACCACTGATCTAGGAGGATGTTCGGTCGAGTTTGAGGGAGTGTTTTAATCTTTTCTCGTGCAATATTATGTTTTGTGTAAATTAATATTCTATTAAGAAAAAGTGTACAAGTTTTTTTTTTTTAATAGTGTTATACAATACCTTTTTAAAAGCCAACTCAGCTTTTTCCGTTCTTTTATCCAATATGTAGAAGGGGTGTGGTATCAATAGCCCTAGGTTAAATATTCCCATTACTATGATCATTACCATAGTTGACTGTGAACTCTCCATATGATCATTGTGTCCTTTCTTCTTGGTGCAGGTAATACAGGGGGATGGAATACATACGGCTGTAGCATACAAGGATATGATGCCAGTTACACTTTGTGCAATTGCTCTCACCTTACTCACTTTGGGGTTCTTCTTGTAAGTAAACACACGTCTTTGTTTTTTGTAGCATGTTTTACATGATCACATAATTACTTTCTAAACCCAAGAACAAACATGTGATATATTGCAGTTTACCCGTCCTTAGATATGGCGGTTGCGTTAGTTTTTATTTTTCAGGCTAGGAAAATTTTCAGCAAATACAGAAAATACCTGTTGATCTCGGCAGACGTTCAGTGCCCTCATCACTTCCTGTGAGCTGAACTGAAGCAAAAAAATGTTATCATCCTTCTCTAAACTACCAATTCTCACCACACCTCCACCCACACACCCATGTAATGCAGCTAGAGAAGGGAAGACATGTTTGAAGTCCAGCTTGGTTGACAACCATTGCTCCTTGTGAAGATACAGTGGAGGCGTGGGTGTTGTCCCACCTAGTCCCCATTCACACCTGAGCATCCTGTGAACACGCGGCAAACAGCAAAAGAATGCTCGCTTTGATGCGTGTTCATAAAACGTGCGAAAAATGCAAAACACGCTTACCAGTTAATGGCACCCCAAACGCGGCCGGGGAACATGCATTTCCCCCCACATTTGTGCCCATTAAAGTGCATATAAACGCGGAGGAAAAAACTACAAAAACGCATGTTGCAGATCTTTCTACGTGTACTACTTTCCCATCTTTGTTGCGCATGAAGGAACCCCTTGAAACCGATGGGAAAACATGGCCAACGTGGGAAGAAAATGCACACAAACGCACAATGTGATGCACATTCCCGGTACTCCTAGGTGTGAATAAGGAACAAGACAAGAAGTACATTACTTGCATGATTTTCTGGTGAAAGTAAATGAAAAAGCCTCAACAAATAAAACTATTGCGGCCAGTATGCTGAGAGGAGGAGAGAGGAGAGTGGTAGAAAGCTGCTGTCATCAGTGGGCTGTATCTTCTCTCACTGTCCAGTCACAGGGTGAGGAGGATACCTGTAAGTGAAACTGCAGCTAGAAAGATCAGGTCCCCTGCCCTGTCACATACTGTATTAAGGTTGTCACCTTTTCTTCAAGCGAAACCCGAACACTCTAGCGACGCATGGAAATATTTTTGGGAGAATGAGTTGTGGCTTATTCATATGAAAGTAGCTCCTCGGGTCACATCCGGTCGACAGAACACCGGCAATGGAGGAGGCGGGGCCCGTGGTCGGCAGCAGGGGAGGAGTCGGGGCTAGGTGACAAATAAGGAGGCGGGCCTGGCGACGGAGGAGGAGGCGGGGCCCATCAGCGACCGTGGCGGAAGAGGAGGGGGACAGGTAAGGAGTGTGACCAGCCCACCTGAGGGTGACCCTGCAGAGCCCACCATAGAAAATCTATGGTGGGCTCTGCAGGGTCACCCTCAGGTGGGATCTCGAGTGCTCGAGTGAGCTCTGCAAGGGGTATAACTATAACTCACGGGGCCCCATACAAAATTCTGCTATGGAGCCCTGTGATTTCTAGTTACGTGCCTGGTCTGCAGTATTGGAATTCTCTGGATAGTGCGGTCTGTTCGTATACTACTAAAGTAAATTAATACTTTGTTATGTGTGGGAAGAAACAAAACCTCCTTTGGGCTTATTCATAAAACCTGAATATAGCAAAATTGTTCCTAATTCTAAAACTCTCATATTTCAGCTGTCATTTCATATCTTTATGCTAGTTCGAAAAGAAAAGCAGATTTTGTGGGTTGTCATGGTTACACAAACACATTTTGTTTCTTCAGTTATTATAAATGAGGGTCAGAGCTGATGGAAGAAGTAAGGAGACTTGATATTTAGTAATCTGTAAATGACCTCTAGTGGTACAAGATGAGACATGGAGACTGCAAATTGTAACGGATCAGTACGCTTTTAACAAACTAATAAGTGACATTTGTTCCAGTCCCTACGCCAAAGATTTGGTTCTTTTGCTCTAAAATGTGTGAGAGGCCTGAGGCAGGCGTACTAATTGGTGATTTCTCTATTCTTTTCAGGATTTAGCAAGAACACAACCCAAACCATGGCATGATTACATCATGACCCTGATGACCTATGTGGGATCTGGCATCACCTCCCTCTTTCTTGGGTTCACTCTTGTCACTTATGGGATGTTTCAGTGAGTTTTATTGAAAATAAGTTTCTCGCATTTTCAGATCTTTTCATACTAATTGAAATCTCTTATGATAGCTTGTGACTTTCCCCACTGTATCTCTCCTGACATATGGAATGTTTGAATAAGCTTTATAAAATAAAAAGATATTTAACCCCTTATTGACCAGTGGCGTCCATTGTACGTCATTGGCACCGGACCCATTTAAACAGACTCCCGGCGGTAAAAGATGCCAGGACTCTGTTTACAATTGTAAAGCCGATTGTCAGCTGTACAATAGAAGCGATCATGCGACTCGGGCTCGTAAACTGGAACCCCCCATCCGACACCCCTGCCGTGTTTTGCGGGCTCCGTTGCCCCTCCTACGGGCCCGGGACCGGCTTCTTTGGTGTCGGGTAGACGCTGGGAAGGAGATGGGCAAACCTCTTTTCGCCGACCACCTCCCCGTACTATGGGACCGGGAGCGATGCAGATTACATCACTTCCGGTCCCATGGCTTTCAGTGCTGGGCGTCTGAAGCCCAGCTATAAGCTATTGAAGTGTGATCTGCACTTCAATAGCTTATTTCTAGTGTAAAGGTGACACTGGGGGTCTTTTGGACCCCCAGCATCACCTTAAAGAGTACCTGTCACTGCCAATTTGCCCCTGCGAGCACGTGCGTCTTCACGTAAATACGCGTTGGGTGCGCCTACGTATGAAACCGACGATTTCGCTACACATGTTGGGTATCGCCGCGCATGCCGGAGTGAGAGCAATATTTCTAAGGCCAATATTTATGTGTATCTCTAAACGAATAACCTGTGGGAGCGCCATCTATGGACTTTTTGGGGTACTGAATTTTGTCGCAGTTTCACGGACACAATTTTTAACCTGGGCATGTTGGGTATCTATTTACTCGTAACCTCATCTTTTATATTTTATCAAGAAACTCGGTATTTAATTGTGTTTTGGGGCATGTCCAGGGCATTTTTCACTAAATTCTGGGGTTTGATAATACGCCAATATCGTGCAACATAAACATTTTAAACTGCCAACATTTTATTCTACTGTGTCTTGGCTTTCAGAAAATATATAATGTGTGAAGGGGTTGAAGTACTTTTCAGGCCTAAAATGTGGATTATATCATGGGTACAAAAAACGGGAACAAAGGCCTCGGTCACTAAGGGGTTAAAAGAGCATTGTCCCATTTTCAGATTTTCTTATACTACTTTATCTCTCTTAAGATATATGAAATGTTTAAGGTAGTATTAGTACTGAATATATTTTGTTCTTTTCAGGCAGCTAAGAAGAGATTACCCCTCCAAGATACTGATGAACCTGTCCTTTTCCCTGCTGATGCTGAATCTGCTTTTCTTGGTCAATGATTGGTTATCAACACTTGATATTCGTGGTCTGTGTATCTCTTTTGCTGTCCTCCTGCACTATTTTCTTCTGACGTCCTTTACATGGATGGGACTGGAAGCTGTACATATGTATTTTGCATTTGTCAAGGTTTTCAATTCCTACATCCGTAAATATATATTAAAATTATGCATCGCTGGCTGGGGTAAGTTCACAATACTACTAGTTTTTTAATCTTTTCTCTGTGTTGTCTGTTATCCGGCTTGCAATGATAGAGTGCAGATGGCAGTAAGCAAAGGCAGCCAATCACAGACTCTTATCTGGCTACAATAGAATTCTGATTGGTTGCTACTGCTTAAAGTAGAATAAAAGTCTCCATTTTTTTTGCATATATCTACCAGTAACTAACTTTTCTGTAATTATCTTAGATAAAATAAAACATCTCAGTGATCAAACTGCAATAAAGAGCTTTTAGGGCCCATTCACACTACTTGCAATGTGTTCCGGGCCAGTTTACGGCCGGAACGCACTGAATCGCATTTCGGCCATCTCACTTTTTTGCCGGGCAGGAGGGGGCATGGTGGGCCATTCAATTGAATGGTGCCGTGGCCACGCCCTCCGGCCGCAATTCGATCACCCGCACGGGATCGCAGGGCACCTTGTGCCTGCGGTCCGGTGCCGTCAAAATGCTACAAGCACTATTTTGACCGCACCAGACCGGACCGCAGGCACAATGTGCCCTGCGATCCCGCGCGAACGATCGCATTGCGCCCGGAGGGCATGGCTACGGCGCCATTCACTTTAATGGCCCGCCACGCCACCATACTCCCGGCAAAACATTGAGCCGGCCGCAATGCGATGCAGTTCGTTCCGGCCGGAATCGGGCCGGAATTCACTGCAAGTCGTGTGAATGGGTCCTGATTCCTATTTACATTCTGATTATTACTTTTTACCACCATGTGCATGCTAGGCTTAATAAATAATTCACACCGGATCTAACAATTATCTATTAGCCTGAATGTCTTTTTGCCAGAAAATTGCATGGGGGGTGCTAGGCCCCCTTGTGTAAAACCACCTAATATCTCTGTTTTTATGTGAAATATCTCTGTAATTATATGAGATCTTATGTTGAAACCACTTGATATTACCGGATCTAATGAAGACCTATTAGTCTGAATGAAATTTTACCAGAAAATTATTAAAATTTTACCAAATAATTATATGAGATCTAACGTTGAAACCACTTGATCTTATCGGATCTAACGAAGGCATATTAGCCTGAATGAAATTTTACCAGAAAATTGCATGTGGGGGTGGCTAGCCCCCCCCTTTATATGTGAAATATCTCTGTAATTATATAAGATCTAACATTGAAACCACTTGATCTTACCGGATCCAACGAAGGCCTATTGGCCTGTATTAAATTTTACCAGAAAATTGCATGTGGGGGGCTAGCCCCCCCTCATTAATCACTTAATAAGTCTGTAATTATGTGAGATCCTACAAAACAACTAGTTGATCATACCGGATCTAACAAATAGCTTCCAAAATAGCTAACCATTTGGTCAATCTTTTTTATAAGGGGGGCTGATGACGGGTTAGACAGTAGAAAGGCATCATGGCACACTCACAAACCAGCATGTAAAACAACTTGTCTCACCACTAAGGATAATAACAGAGGTTTGGATACACGTCTTCTGCAGAAAATGTGAAAGCCGCACAGCCGCGCCCAGGCACCTCTTATAGTGCGGTCCTAACTGAAATCTTCTGCCCCCATGTGCTCCAAGATGGAGACTCTCATAGTTTAGAGTTAGGACCGCACTATAAGAGGTGCCTTGGCGCGGCAGTGTGGCTTTCACATCCTCTGCAGAAGACGTGTATCCAAACCTCTGTTATTATCCTTAGTGGTGAGACAAGTTGTTTTACATGCTGGTTTGTGAGTGTGCCATGATGCCTTTCTACTGTTTTACTGTTCAAAGCCCATTTCGTGTGCACCTTACTGTATAACTGGTGACAAATTGTTGAATGGGTTTGTCGTTTGTTTTGCTTGATGACGGGTTAGCCCCCCCCAGCAACTGGTAACTGTTAATATTTCTACTTCTATGTGAGATCTAACGCAAACAACAATTGATCTAACCTGTTCTAACCAACTGCATAAGTTTTGTTCAAAAATTTTGATATGGGGGGGCTAGCACGGCTGAGGTCTTGAAAGTGTTCCGTTATATCTGTATGTGTCCAGTGCTCACTTCTTGTGATATCTCAAGGAAAGTAATTAGCCCTCCCAGTTCTCCTCTTGGGACTACAAAATGATTATGCTTTATGTTGTGGAAATGGCATAGTAGGTGGGTTTGAGTAGTTTGGCAAGACAAAGCTGGGCAGGGCTGGCACCACTCAGTCCCGAAACATCCTGTGTGTTTTCAGTCCACAACAGGACGCAGGAGCTGACTACATTTCTGGCAGATTAACAGATATTGTTCTGCACTTGTGAGTCTTCAAATGGATAAAGCATGGGGAAATGTGCATGGATTGTATTTTTTCTTTTACCCTGACACACAATTCAAACAGCATGTTTTAACATCTGCCTGGAATTTAGCTGTAACTGTCTTACTGGAAATGAAATAAAATCAGGTTGTGTAAGTTATTTCCGAAATCCCTAATAATGTGTAACCCTAATATTTCATATATTCAATCTACCATTAACATACTAAGAGGAATACTCGCTTCTTTTTATTTTGTCCTTTTTGTGGTCAGTATATTTTTTGTATCAATATACCTTCTGCACATTGAACTGTTTTTGCTTCTGATAGGAATACCAATAGTGATAGTTGTGGCCGTACTCTGTATAAATGTTGATTTCTACGGCCCTGTATACAAAAACACCGATCCAGATGACTACACTTCGTTGTGAGTAAATCATTCTTTCTTATGTCTGTGAATGTTCTCATTCATCCAGGTCATGTTATATCTGTAAAAAATAAGTCAAGGGAACTAGACTTGCTGTATTTTTCTTGAAGACGTTTCACTGGTCACCCGACCAGCTTTCTCAATTCAGAATGACTTGTGCAAAAAATTATCTGGAAATAAATATGGTGAATGTTGCTCCAATCCACATAATCTGTTAGTCGCAACCAGGAGTTGATTGCATTTGCATAATTGGAGTCTAGGAGGTGTTATTGATAGATCATTTTTTTGTACAAGTCATTCTGAATTGACAAAGCTGGTTGGATGACCAGTGAAATGTCTTCAAGAGAAATACAGCAAGTCCAGTTGCCTTGACTTATTTTTTACAGATATTCTTTCTTAACCAGAAAGTTTGGCAGCAAAAACTGTAAAAGAAAAATGTTTTACATTATACCACCTGCTATAGCACCTGCAATATTTCTGTGTACAGTTATCATGCCTACAAAGTAAAAACAAATAATACTCTGTAAGTTTCTTACTCTTAGGCCAGGTTCACACCATTTTCTGGACCAGATCTGGAATGCGTTTTTGCCTCGATTTTTGTCACGTTCCGGAGCTGTTTTTTTTTTTTTTAGCTTAAAATGGGCTTTCAGGTGCAGTCCAGTGTGTTTCAGTACTCTTGCATGCATTTGTATGCTTTTTGTTGCGTTTCCAGCGCATTCCAGACCAGACCAAATGAGGCATGCAATATTTTTCTGGTCGGCGCTGGTCTGAACAGAGGCCAGAAATAGCATAGGGATACATTAGGATGCATTTTGGGTCCGGAAACAATTTGGTCTGTTCTTGAAATGATCTGAATGTGGTGGGAACCGGCCCCAAGCCCTCATTCACACTGTAATCGGACCGCACGTACAGCTCCATGCTGCGTGCAGGGCCGTACCAAGCAGCTCCCGGGAAGGACGGGTGCTGCGTGTGATAAGTACGCAGCCCCCGTCTTTCTCTATGGGACTACACGGCCGGAAACCCCCCTACGCTCACCCACCCTGCACGTGCGAGCCAGGAATCGCGTACCCCTATGGACCTGCACTTGAGGTGAGCGTAGGGGGGCGTACGGCCGTGTAGTCCCATAGAGAAGGATGGGGGCTGCGTACTAATCACACGCCGCACCTGCCCTTCCCTGGAGCTGCTCAGTAAGGCCCTGCACGCAGCACGGAGCTGTACGTGCCGGACGATTCCTGTGTGAATGAGGGCTTAAAGTGTAACTCAAGGCAAGCTCTTTTAGATAGAGTGGGAAATGGTAAACATTTGGTGAAAAGTTTATTACTGTCTGTCTCAGTTAGAGAGATTCATATCCCTATGTATCCTGGTGACCACTGTCGCCGAGAGAGAAAATGGGAGGAAACCCAAAAACTTTAGATTCTTGTTCTTTTGTTCTCAGAACAAGAGGTAAGGGGAAGTCTTCTAATGAGGACACCTGTTTCAGGGACAGCCATCTAAAGCTAGCCATACACAGCTAGATTTCTTTTCACTCAACCTGGAGGCTGAACAAGAGAAATGGCTTGATTCCCCTGTGCAAGCCAAACAGCGTGAAGGAATCTCCACCTGGCAGCTACTGTACTCAGCTATCACCCGCAGCTGTCTGAATTCCCAAATAGTGACTGCGGCTGATTGGATGCAATCACTGTTTGGCTGACAATTTTCCACATGGCTCCTTCGGTTTTCTAATTGAAGTTTGTCAACGGGGCCACCCATGGCTCCAAGTTTTGGCTGAATCAGCAGGAATCCCTTGAGTGTGCGGACATGCATAGGTAGACCCAAAGGGGTTGATTTACTAACCTTATAAACACACCACGAATGTGTATACACCTCTGCAGTGTGTTCCCTCCCAGCATGATCTATGGGTGGAATCTAAACACCTTTGTAATGTGTACACACCCAGCAGGTGTGTTGTGCAAAGCCCTGAATGAATTCCAAGGTGATGTTGGGTAAATTAGCTCTATGTTGTGTTGCTTGCGTTGATGAATGCAGGAATGTAAATGCATGAGCTAACCATTTTTGTCTAAACTGTGAAGCAGCATTATATATGCATCATGTGCATGATTTTTCCATATATGGCATTAGTGGAAATATGCTTTTAGAGACTTTTTGGTTGATAAATACGTTTTGCTGTTTGAAAATCACACACACCTGGTGTGTGTGTGTGTGTTTAGGTTAGTAAATCACCCCCAAAGTCTCTACCCTGCCCCTCCCCTGCCCCTCCCCTGAGGCAATTGATTATTAGCTTCTTTTTGTAAGGTGCTTAGTACCTGCTCTCCAACCAGAAGTTCAAAAAAGCAGTGCTGAGCGATTCAGGACCTACTTTAAAAAGATGTGTACTTATACTTTTGGCACCATTAATATCCCCTCCCTTGCACAGATGCATACATACCAGGTTCTGACAGGTCTGGCCTCCATGGTTTGAGTACAACCTGCGGTAAATGTCTGCCTCTCTAGGACGATCTTGCACAGTGCATCACCATCAACTTCTATGGGGCTTGTCTCCTAGCTGGGAGACGGTGGTAGTTGAGCCCCATAGAAGTCAATAGGGATGTACTGCACAGGCATGGCTGGGAAAAGTAGACATTCACTGCAGCTTGTAAACAAACAACTGAGTTCAGGCCTACTGGAATTTGGGAAGTATGCATCTGTGCAGGGGAGGGACTAGTGAGGTCATCTTAAATAGGCCAAAAGGATAAATTAACTTTGTTTTCAAGTGCACTTACTCTTTAAGAATAGTTTTATGAATACATCATTGTATTAAATGGTGTGTTTTAAATATATGCCGGGGGTTCAACTTATTAATTTACCTTACAGATTCAGCTTACCCCTAACCCTCTGCGTGCTAAGTAATGTGTACATGTAATACTTACAGGTATTGATTTCTTTTTAAAGAGATTGCAGTACTTTTCTGGACCATGCCTTCTATTATTCTCCCCGAAAGATCCCCAGAAAATTATACTTGCTTTTTGTGCTGATCAAGAATGCAAGTAGAAAATAAAGACCCTGATCATGTCCTGTCTTTTTTTTTTTTTATAGCTGCTGGATCCAGAACAATGTCGTTTTCTATGTGACGGTGGTGGCTTATTTTTGTATCATATTCCTGACCAATATAGCCATGTTTATTGTGGTACTTCTTCAAATCAAGTCACTGAAGGCTACAAAATTAAAGGATTGGAAGGCCCTCTTCCTCCATGACATTAAAAATACTCTGAGTCTCGCCGTCTTGCTCGGATTAACCTGGGGCCTTGCCTTCTTTGCCTGGGATCCTGTTCGAGTTGCCTTTCTGTACCTTTTCGCTATTTTGAATACCTTACAGGGTAAGTACATGTTTTCTACAGTACAATGAGTGCTATTTTTATTTGATTAATACGGTCACATAACATATCCCATTACAATTTCTGGTAACAAATTGGGTGTGTGAAATGAACATAGACGGGTGTAAAATATCCCTGATAGACTCTTAAAGTGTAATTCCATTTTTGCAGCCAAATTGGGATAACACCTATTTTATATTTGTTACATGTTCCCATTGCATAAGCTAAAAAAAAAAAAGAAAAAATGCTTTGTGCAGTTCAACCCCTTCATGACCAGCGACGTACATAGAACGTCACTGGCAGCGGGCCCGTTTAAACAGACCCTGTTTACATTTGTAAAGCCGATGGCCGGCTTTACAATAGAAGCGATTCTGGTGACTCAGCTGTAGCCGGATCGCTTCTACGGGCCGGTAAACTGCCCTCCACCTGCCCACCACCCCCGCCATTGTCACCACTATGTCACCCTGATGAAAGGACCCTGCGTTGCCCCGAAACGCTGTTTTTTGGCACGTGACACCTCTTCAAATAAATACAAACTAGAATTTTATAAGTATTGATCAAGTGCTGGTGATCTTCATTTGCCACTTGCCATGGTTCTCTGGTAATGGGCATCACTGGGGTTCCAGAGGTTCCTGTAAAGAACGGGTGGGTTTTTTCTGTACGAGCAGGAAAAAAAGCCGTCTATTACGGCAACCCGCCAATGGGACTTTGCCGTCCGTCCGTTTCTTCACAATGGGTGGACGGCAAGAGGTTAAGCTGCCCATACCTTACGAATATCGGTCGATTTTCGTATGCGATCACGTTTTTGTCCGATATTAATAAGGTTGATGGGCAGTGTACAACCTCAAATACTGTACAATTGATCGACTTTTGACTAACCAGCAGGTTAGAAAGCTTTGGTTGATCGTACAATTTTCGCAAGGTTGGTGGCGTTTCCGTACATCAAATTTTTTATGATTTACACTGCTCATGCACAAACGAAAATACGCGCAGTCCATTATCGAAATTGGTCCAGGTGTTTTTTTTACTGCAAGCTGATTGAACCGTGCGATAATCGGGGCAGGATGGGGCCGCCGTACGAAAATCGCAAGGTGTATGGGCAACTTTATACCGGTACTTACATAAAACCTTCTCTTGCACCAGATATTTATTTTCCTTTTCTAATTTGTCTTAAGAAAATAGCTTCATTCTTTGTGGTTGCTTTAGGGAACATATCTACCTTCTTATCCATTTTAGATAAATGATGTTGGATTTGCAATCATAAAAAATTCTAATCCTTTGCTGGCCGAAGAGAGAGAAGGATTTCATTATGCTAAGTAGAAAGCTGAATGCTATAACCCATACTAGAAATGATTTTCTACCAGTCCTATGTAGCTAGGCAGAAAAGAAGTGATCTATAATTGGTTGCTATGGGCTACTAAACACTGCTGTTCTTTGAGTTCAGTTATTTATTAGGCCGATCTGTGTGAATCACAGTTCACTATTATGAATCACACAGGAAGATAACATAGAAAGATCATTCATTAATGAACGTGAAGCTTTGTATTCCTGTTTACACAACCTATACAACACAAGTTTGTTTTTATTAATTAAAATGAGTTTATTTCTCTCTTTATTAGGATTTTTTATTTTCATCTTTCACTGTCTGATTAAGGAGAATGTAAGAAGGCACTGGAGGATGTACCTGTGCTGCGGAAGGTGCCAACTTGACAATTATTCAGGTAAAAACTTATTTTGTATTATGTTAAAGTGTAGAAAAAGTATTCTGTGTCCTATGCACTGTGAAGCCTGGCACAATGTTGTTGAATTAACCCTTGCAGTGGGGCTGCCCATGCATTGCAAGGGTTAACTGCTTGTTTTCATGTAGGGACTCAAATAAAAAAGTTATACTCACCCGAACCTGTGACAGTGCCCCCAACCGGTTACTTTCCTCCCACGATGCAGCTATGGTATGTCCCTCAGCATCCTTACGTCCAGTACACAGTACAGAGGATCCTTAGACTCCTGTGGGGGAGGAAGGCTGCAAGGACCGGTCTAAGAGCAAGGATCGGCTGGCTTTAACTTTTTTATTTTAGACCCTAGACAAATATGAGCACTTAACCCTTGCAGTTCGGGGGTAGTCCCACAGCAAGGGTTAATACAAAATGTTGCCCAGAGTTGTTCTTTGGTGGCTGCTTGACTGGTAAGACTAAAAAGAGGAAATGCATTGATGTGCTGATCACGCGATGCCCACAAACTTCATTTTCCTCAGCCCTGGCTAAACACAGTTTTATGGGGGAAATCTAGAATCTGGAGCAATTGCCCATAGCAACCAATCAGCTTCTCTTTTAAGTTTGTTCAGTTACCGTATATACTCGAGTATAAGCCATCCCGAATATAAGCCGAGGTACCTAATTTGACCAAAAAAAACTGGGAAAAAGTATTGACCCGAGTATAAGCCGAGGGTGGGAAATGAGGCAGCTACTGGTAGATAGATACCAATAAAATTACATTAATATTTATTTAAAAGAAAAATAACCTAGCTCTGTAAGTGGAAAAGGGGGTACAGGGCTACATATCATGTACTACGGATCATTTAACCCATTCATATTAGCAGAGGATAATTGTAAATCTATTGTTCAGTGCACTCTATATGTAGTATATAGTACATGTACATATAGAGTGCCTGCAACAATACATTTACAATGATCCTCTGCTAACATGAATGGGTTAAATGATCCATAGTACAGGGCTACATACAGATCATGTAATACATTCATGTTAGTATAATTGTAAATGTATTGTCTGCACTGTATTAGCAGTATATACTCCATATAGAGTATATACTGCTAATACAGTGCAGACAATACATATATAATTGCTTAATGCATCTCTCTCT